GCCGATGCAGAATATACCTTAGCGGGAAAGCGGTTAAACAGTCACTAAGTATTCAAGAAAGTACGGTCGTAACTTCCGAGCTGTCTTCACTAAGGCGAAGGCCAATTTCTGCATTGGTGGGTGGCGTAATTCGACGTCATGCAAGACTTTACTCACATAGTATATCAGGTGTTGACATGTAGCTTTTTCATGGACTAGAGCAACACTGATCACAACATTGGTCACCCCCAAATACAAGTACAACATCTCCCCAGGCCAAGGCTTCTGTATTATAGGAGCTCGGCTCTGAACGACCTTTATGCTCTCTAATGCTCCTTGGCACTTGGGGGTCCACTAAAATTTGTGATTTTTCTTAATGACCTCGAAGAATGATGTGCATCGATCCATGGACTTTGCAATTAACCGGCTGAGAGCGGGAAGCTTTCCGGTCAGACTTAAAACCCCTTTGATAGAAGTCAGAGGATGAAGATCTTAGATTGCTTTAATCTTATCTGGGTTTGCTTCAATACCCATTTGGCTCACAATATAGCCTAAGAATTTTTCTGAGCCGACCACAAACGTACATTTTTTAGCATTTAACGCCATGGAATAATCACACAAGTAGAGAATATTTTATTCAAATCCCTGACATTGTAGGACGCATACATTGGACTTAACTAACATGTCGTCTGCATAAACTTCTATAACATCACCTGTCAAGCTAGAAAACATTTTAATTACAAGTCGCTGATAGGTGACCCCGACATTCTTCAATCCAAATCGTCATTTTATAGCAATAAAATCAACATGTCGAGTAGATGTAGGTGTGTTCTTTGTCGTCTGGATGCCTATCAATTTGTTTGTAGCCCGATTGTGCATCGATGAAGCTCATTAGCTCATGTCCCGATGTTGCATCAGTAGTGTAGTCAATGTATGGTTGCGGGTAGTTATCTTTAGGACACGTCTTATTGAGGTCCAAGAAATAAATGCATAGGTTCCAAGCCCCATTGCTCTGGATTTTTCACCCGGGTCGAGTATCAAAACTTCTAGATATAACGATTGTCTTTAAGCTTGATGACCTTCTCTTCATGGGCTTGTTGTTCGTCTGGGCCGAGCTTCTGCCTTTTTTGGATCACATGATTGACCACCAGATCGACCTATAGCATGTGGCAGATGAACTAGGGGTCAGTCCCCCATCATGTCCTTGTGGGTCCACGCAAACACATCTTGTTTTCCTTGAGAACTGGATGAACTCGGTCCTGATTGGCTCCGACAGCTTACTCTCAATGTGGAGTTGTATCTTGCACATCAGTTCGTCAATAAAATTGATCTTTACCTTATCCATTGGCTCAGCTAGCTTAGTTCCTTGTCTATCTTCATATTGTTTTTGGGAGTCGAGCTCGTCTTCCACTCTTATCGGCTCTTTTGTCGCGTCTCCTCCATCTGCTTCCCGGCAATCTTTCTTCTTCAAACCCCATCAATTTCGAGCCGATGTTGCCCAACACCGACGAACGTAGAACTCCTTGATCCTCTTGTTCAGGGTCAGTCGTCGGAATACCATGGATCGTTCGTTCGGGTAATGGCGAATCGAGTAACACCTGCTCGTCTCAGTCACTTCCTTAGCAATTTCTATTTCTGTTATACGAGAAATATGGATCTTGGATCGAGGAATGACCAATGCACACTCTCGAGTTTCTTGATGTTCCCGTTAATGGGTTCCTTGACCATCAGAGGTCACAATTTTGAGTGTATAATGAAAGATAGAAACTGCAACTCGGAGCTTGTAGAGTGTCATTCTTCCGAGTATATTTGTACTTATTCTGGTAGTGAGCAATCTTGAATATATCCAAGATGGTCCCCTCATTTGAATCCTTTATCCCGAAAACCATTTGGCAGTGTTATCTCCCATACTTGAATGGTTATTTAGCCGTCAAAACCTCAGATTCTTTCCCATCATGGTTACACCTCTTTTAGGTCGATCCCCATCTTCTTGAATGTGCTATAGTATAAGATACTAGTGTAGACCCCTGTGTCGACTAGAATTCGGTGAACATTTATGTTGAAGATTTTCGTAGTGAGAGATTATGCATCCGAGTGCGGGTGATCGAATAGAAAAGCATCCTCTTTAGTAAACGAGATTGGATTCGAACTCGCCGAGTTCACTGGCCAGCAATTGCCACTCTGCATCCATTATTTGGCATAGTAGGCGCAATGCGCATAGGCCTTGTTCTGCCTTTTGGACTGGGTCAGTCCTCCCCGACTTGTATTCATGAGTTGACCTAGGGAGGTGCTTCTGCGCCGAGGTCAGATCGGGGATTGACTGTGTTCTCGATCTCAGGTTGAGCTGGCCTCTTTTTAGTGGAACCAAAAAAAAATAAGAATCTTCTTTTTGCGGTGGGAGGTCTTTGTCCCCTCTAGTGGATATCCTTATAATCATCACTTTTGGGGCTACCCTCAGATCAACTCTTCTTTCTTCCATTTTGGTCTCGGGTGAACTTTTTCACTGTGAGGCCTTTGATCAATTTTAGCAATTCCGAGATAAGGTTTCTGCACTAGTCGATATTGTGCCAATGCCCTTTATGGTAGGCACAGTACCACGATTTGTCTAGTCGACTTTCGTCGGCGTAAATCGGCTTGGCCTCAGGAAGGATCCCCACGTGATTTCTTCGTAAACTGTCGTGGCTCCCACAAAGTAGAAACCGTGGTAGTTCCTTCAGCTCCTCATTCTGCTACCTCCTCAAAACTTATACTTGAGCCTTATCCTTCACGATCTTGGCCTCTTTTTCTTTTGAGCTCGTATTCGGGCACCTCAAACTTCGATACTGACATAGATTCCTCGGCCATGATATTTCGATGGACCCTGGTCGGGAAATCCTCATATGTGGTCAGTCTATTCTAGCATAGCGACCACTTGGACTTTGAGTTTTAGTTTCAGGCCTGCCTGCGCCGATACCAACAATGTCTCCTGGTGGCAGGGATCCATATTTTGTACTCAGTCATTGAAAGGGACGAAATAGTCTTTCAGGCTTTCTTTGGCCCCTTGGACAATGTTGGTAATTGACTCCTTGGGAATCATGCACACCTGCGACCCAATAAAATGAGATCAGAACATTGACCTAAATTGTCCCTAAGTCGACATGGAGTGGGGGTATAAACGATACCACCTCTGCGCCTTGGGCCTCAACATAAGAAGAATACCCGACATCTGAGGGCATCCCTGGCCCCGTGGAGGTCCATCCAGGACATGTAGAAGCTGACGTAAGCGACGGGGTCTGAGCTTCCGTCATATAGTCCGATCTGGAGCCTTTTTTTACCTTGTCGGGAAGTTGCTCGTGGAGAATGTCTTCAGAGAGTGAGGACATTGTGTCGATGACTCGGCTGTCAGATATCACGGGAGGTGGCGGCGGCAACCTTTGGCTATACTTTTGTCGGCCTTCCAGCTCAACAATCTGTTTTTTCAATGCGGCGACCTCGTCGGTCGCGATTGGCTGACTTGCCCCTGAGGATCGTCTGTCTCAGGTCGGGCTAGGGGTCTTTGATCAACTATTCTGATTATTTAAAAAAAATGTAAATGTTGGTAATTAGGTGGTTAAGCTATAAAGATAATTAACAATGGGTTCGCACAAGTGAGAGCAGTAATGAGGTCGAACTTTAGGGAATATGAGCTCTAGTGCTCGTATTAACTACGGTATTAAAAGAGGGATTTATATCTTTTACAGAGAGAATTTTTTGTCTCTTCTAAATGGATTTCTAGGACTATTTATAGCAAGATATGTTCAGTTGCTATTCATCGAGTTACATCAATTTACTGAACGACAGGCATTAATGCGGACATGCTGCCCTAGGGACCTAGAAGACATAAGTTAGTAGGGCAGGCGGGCGCGTCCTGTCGTTCATCATGACGTTGCAAGTGGAATTATTTAATACTTTTTTTCTTTGTGTGCCTTAGCAATTTGACCTCTTCGATGCCTTGAGGTCGGATGGTGGTTGTGATTTTCTGCATTATCTTTTCTGGACTGACCTTCATTTTCGAAGGGCTGACCTGGTGCCAAGTAAGGATGCGACCTAGGATTCTACTCTTCACAAGAACTTGATCCATCCCTCGCAGTATTAAACCCCAAAATCTCGCTTTCTGAAATATATATTTAGGGTGTGATTGGTTACAATAATGTTATGGGCTTGATTAATTCCCATGTCATTTATTACATCTATCCACCCAATTTATTAGCATGTTTGGTTAGATATTAATAAATTTCATACTTCTAATTTTCCGTCCTTCTTCCTCAAATCGCATACACAATGTAACACCCCACTTTGATTTTACCGAAATTCTGGATTTTTCAAAAAAATCAGTATAAAATTTTCAAACTCATTTTCGAAAATTTAGTGGGTGTTAAACAACATTTTCATAACCCAAGTCTTATCTAGGCCTACGGGGATTCATTACCCGGTTTTCATAATCGGTTTTCATTAACCAACATCAACTCATGAACTAAATATCCAACCATAAATCCCATAACAACCAAGGTTCAGAAGATTCAAAAACCAACACACCAGGTTTGAAAATAGTTTGCACAAAACATAACGTGCAACAAACTTATTCAAGTTCAGCGGAAGCAATAAAAATGCATAAGTAATTAGACCGACCCAACTCGTCTCTTCCTCGT